TAAATGTTATCAGATAACAATAAGGTAATAAAAGATCCCACTCTTTATCCGTTAGTTTCATTTTTCGTCCATTCTCGTATTCCATCAATAATATTTTTAGATATTCTTCGTTAAAATTGTCACCAGTAAAACACCAAAAACACATTGCTGATGAAAGATCAATAATAAATGAACCATAATACATATCATCGAAATCTAATACGGCTGTTAATGTTTTAGATTCATCATCGAATAGTATATTATCATCATGCATATCCGAGTGTATACAACCTCTTGGTAAATATTTTTCAAAATTCTTCATTAATACTTGATCATTTATATCAGCATTATCTGGTATCATTTGAGTATGTTTATCAAGTAATATAGTAATTCGATCGTAAATTTGTGGTTGTTGTCGTTTGAATTCTTTACAATTGAATAATAAATCATGTTTAACTTCAACAAAATTAATTGGGAGTCGGCAAGAAGCATTTTTTTCATTACAATTATCGTAATTCAATGAGGCATGATGCATTTTACCTAAAAATTGTCCTATGCTTGTCACCTGCCATAGTTCACGATCAGGTGTGTTTGCCGTATTTACATGTTTAATACCGTGACAATACTCCATTAAAACACAATAATTATCATCTATAGTAAATAAATATTCTTCATTATTACGTGGTTTTATTATTTTTGGTACTTGTAGTCCATTTTCGTATAAGTAATTCATAAACTCAAGTTCATATTTAATTTCGATGATATCTTTTAATCTGTCATCACATTTTAAATATTGGCGAAGAATATAATTGCCATTACTTGTTTTTATTTTGACGGTTAAGTTAACCCAACCAGACGTCAAAATTTCGTATGAGAGAAAATCGCCCACATCGAAATTTTGTAAAGCACAAATCAGTTGATCAGTAGTCACTGACATCTGGAATAAAGAGAAAGATGAATTATAACAGCCGTCTTTATTTGAGTCATTTTGAAATTTTACTCTTTTAATTACCCAGGTCGGTCAAAACGACTATCCGTATTTTCACCGTAAATTTGCTTCATACGGCATCGTAAACGGACCATATTTTCTCCGAATATTGGGGGAAATTTTAGACCCTTCGAACTTTTTAAATTTTTCGGTACGAAAAAAAATTGAAAACCCCTTTTTCTTACTCAGGTCGATGCGCTCTCCAATCATGTATAATATCTCAAAAAGAAATTTTACTCGAATTTTGAATTGCCGGCACCTTACAAAAATGAGAAAAGAAAATCGTCCCACACATAGACTTTATATACGCGTTTTAGACAAAAGTAGTTAACGTGAGTAATCCCACGTTGTTGAAAAAAACAGAATAAAAAAGAAATCCCAAAAATCCCAGTAAAAAGTGGAATTACATATATAAAAAATAGCATGTGTCTGAGACATAGGCTCGAGGAATCTTATCGACCCTCAGATCATGAATTGATCCAACTAACACAGGCTAAAGGAATACCTATGTGCGATAATTTACCTAGACATTCCTCTCATCAAAGTTGATCAAAAGCTGACTTGAAATCAACGAAGACAGTGGCTACCGGAGAACTATTACTCATATAGGGACGGATATTTTCAACGCATAATAAGACTCGTAGCTGTAAACGAAGCCCCGGCCGGAATTCGGACTGACAATTAGTAAGTATACCTCTTCAATGTAGAACACGGCGAAATCGTATCAAAAATAACCGTTCCAAAATTTTAAGAAAAACATCTAATAGAGATATAGGACGAGTGGCATCTACTGGACAAATTGCTTCTTTTTTGGCTAGCAACACCATTCTAGCTTTCTTCCAATACGATGGACAGACAAAGGAAGACATGGATAG